TAAATGGATGAACTTAGTGTATGTAAGTTATGCCAATAAAGCTTTTTAAAAAATCCTTAATGTTTTGGGGGATGGTGGGTGTGGGGGGCACACTTACCCTGACGACCCCTCTTTTACCCAGGAAAGATGTCGACAACTATAGGTAGGCAGCATGGGCCACTGAGGACACCCAGGATCTCGGCTCTGTTGCTCCTGCTTTACATCCCAGCCTCCTCCCCGAAAGCTGCTCCCACTGGGGGTTTGGACCTGGTGCCTCTGACCCTTGGGCACCACTGGTGGCACCTGGGAGGCCTGTGCCTTTGGCGCTGCTTGATGCTGAGCCCACTTCCAGCCATGAGTGCAGCTGTCTTTCCCCGCCGCCCGCGGGGTTCTGCCCTTCTCTGCCCGGGTTTGGAGTCTTAGCAGGGCCTAGGACCTTGTAGCGTCTTGGTAGGAGGCAGGGGCCCATTGGGCGAGGGATGTGCTGCGACCCCCGTGGACAAGGGAAACAGGCCATGCGCTCACACACAGCAAGGACCTAAGTGGGCCCCCACACTGACAGTGCCTGCTGGTTGTCCTTGTAGCCTGACTGCCGTTCCACACAGATGGGCACCTGTGCTAGAGAATCCTGTGAAGCAATAGGTTCACTTTTCTCTTGTGAATTTTTTTTTTATTTCAGGTTTTGTGACTCTGGATTGTGAAGGTAAAGTCAGGACAGAGGAGCTCAGAAGAAAGGAGAGGTGTGATTCGGGGGTGAACCCTGCTGGGGCCTCTCACGCCACTAGGCTTATGCTCGGCAGCCTTGCTGAGTGGGGCTGGCCAACGGCTGTCCAGCTTCAAGGGTGCGGATGGAGCCGAGTGGGTGAGAGCTGGCCTAGCTCAGTCAGGGCCCGGGTTTGGTCCCAAGCACTGGGGGAGTCCCTCCTGGCTTTAAAATAAGTCTTCCACAAGGGCACAGCAAGACCAGAGCTCAGACCCAGCTGATGACTTCACAGTTCAACTTTGCCCAGATTTAACTCCGCCTCTTTGCCTAGCCGATCCTGAATTTTACCATCAATGGATCTCTCACTCTTGTTTGGGCCCTGGGGTTTTTAAAAAAACAACAGAATGTAATTGTTCATCCATCAACATTTTCACTACCCTTCACCTCTGCAGGATAGCACCTGCCCAAATGTTTCTTGTGAAATTGATGTTTGCACATGTATAGCCTTGGGTACCATCACACACACACACTCTCACAAACTGTATTACTTTTACACAAAATTATTTAACAATGCCAACAACTGTGTTTTTGTGAAAAAGTTTTGAGTGATGAAAATGTATGGTCAGCACTTAGGAGGCTGAGGCGGGAGGACAGCAAGTCTGAGGCCAGTCTGAGCTACACAGGGAGTTCAAGTCCCTCCTGATCTGCGTGCATGGGCCACACCTGCACTGAGCTCAAGACACCTCAAGGCCACTGTAACAAGCACAATCTTTTCTTTTGAGGCAGGGTCTCACTACGTAGGACAGGCTGACCTTGAACTCACTTATGTAGCCTAGGCTGGCCTGGAACTCACAGTGATCCTCCTGCCTCAGCCTCCCCGGGTGCTGGGATTACAGGCCTGTGCCACCATGCCCGACAACGAGCAGAATCTTGACTTGCAGTTTTTCTGTGACCTGCCTGAGCTGTTGGCACAAAGAACAGAGCTGCAGGGGACAGACACACAGCTGTGCGGTGCAGCTCCCATACCTGCAAGACGGTCTCTTTGCCTTACAGGGTCATGGAGAGGATGAGAAACGGTGTAAAGTAGTTAGCATAGAAAAGTAGAGCAGCCATTGTGTAACTGGTAGCTGTAACTATGAGTTTCTTTTTTTTTGGTAGAAAGTTTTATTAAAGATAGGAAAAGAAACAGGCTCTGCAGAACGAGTTTGGACCAAGTAAAAGTCAGAAAAGAGCACACGCACGCTACAGCCTGAGGGCGGGCCACCATGCAAGAGAGAATGGTGGCAAACTGAGTTTCTTAGTGGACAAGCAAATTAGGAAGAAAAAGACGTGTCATTTTGGAGAGTCTCACTAAGTGGACTAGACCGGCTTCAAACTTGAGATCTTCCTGCCTCGGTCTCCTGAATAGATGGAATTACAGGAGCATATCATCATGCAAGGCTCTTGCTAACAATTTTACTTCCAAGTGCATTAAATTGGGAGGTGGGGTTTCTAGCTTTTTCTCCCAAACATTAGTGAAGCTGTTTCAGAAATGTAACTGAATGCACTTATATTCTCCACCTCCATCCACTTCAGGCCATAAGCAAAGTCTATCTAGTGGTACAGACTCTGGGACCAGCCTGCCCAAGTTCGTGCCTTGGCTCCGCCTCTTACGGTAGCGTGAACTTGGCCAGGTTATTTAGCTCACCTTCTGCACCTCCCTGCTCATCTGTAAAGGGGGTAGTAGTGCTTTGTGAATACTGTACATAAGTAAATCTCAGCGCAGCGTGCTGCGAGCACTGTTAATTATTCATTGCTACCACAGACATCCTCTATTGTGGCTGGCATATTTCTCATGTGCAAGAGCCAGGAGTGCCCGCGGCAGGCTTGGGGCCCGGGCCTGACCTTCCTCCAGCGGCAGCTCTAGCCAAAGCCCACACTCTCAGGGCCCTGGTTCTGTTAGCCTGCTCCTTCTTCCTTTACCCACGCTGCAGAGATAAAACTCCAGGACACCAGTGCTCAGCAAACAGTTGTCAACAGGTCACTGGTTTTCTAAGTATGCTGGGGATGCCTTCTGGGGTGCTAAGTGCCAGGAGGGCAGTGGCTCTCCAGCTGCTTCAGTCCAGCCCCGTCCTGATGTCCTGGTCCCCTGCTAGCCCACATCCTCCTTCCATGCTGCCTTCACCACGCCCACACCCTGTGCGGCTCTCTCCACGGGCTGTCCTGCAGTCACCAGTGTCAGCCTGGCGGGCGTGCAGACAGGGACCTCCAGCTGGGCATCTCAGCACTGGACATCCTGAGGGCATGAGCTGGTGCCCGGGCAGCTCATTGAGATGGCAGTGAGAATCATGGGCTGTACTCCAAATAGCTAAGCTGCTTTCCCCTGGTGAGTTTTGTTGTTGACACCAAAGGACTGTCATGGGCCTGGTTCACCCTGCCGTGCCTGCAGCTGAGGTTCTGCATTCTTACCGGGGTCTGAGCCAGGCTCAGGGCACTGCAGCCTGAGCCCCGCTTCCCTGCTTCTCCTCCACCCTTCACCAGCATCAAAAATGGCCCTTCAGACACAGGACCTGTGGTCAAGAATTCTTAGATGGGTCTCTTGGTTTCTGTGAGCACCAGATGCTCACAGAACTCGGAGGGCCCTCCAGGAGATGGATGAACACTCCTCTGCGGCACTGTCCGGATGCCCCACCCACCCGGGCCGCGGCACGGCTGCTGCCCTGTCCTTTCTCAGGGCCGCAGTGCTTTCCTTGTCTGGCACAAGTCAGTCCTTTCCAGCACTCAACAAAACTCACCCTTGGGCAACACCTGATCTACAGATGGGTTTTATTTTGTCTGCAGAGCAGGTAGAGAATTTTTTAGTTGTTGATGAAATCAGATTTCGTATAAAAATCTGGATTCCCCAGATTCTCTGGAAAACTCTGGAGACAGGACAGGAAGCCCCTTCCCGCGCTCTCCGTGCTGCCTGTCCCCGCACTCTTCTTTCATTCCCTGACTGGACTTACCTTACTGCTCCCGAAGGACAGCGGAGTTTATAGCTCCTGCCAGTGATGTGGGCAGTGACAGAAGAGAGGGGCCCCATCAGCTCCACCAAAGACAGCTGTCTTTTTTTTGGTACCGGGAATTGAATTCATGACATCCTGCTTACCAGGCAGGCGCTGTGCTGCCGAGCTACATCTCCCGCCAAAGACAGCTGCCAAAACGCGCTTGTGGTGGCGGCAGGGTCTGCGCCTGCCAGGCAAACAGCAGGGGCTGTGCAGTGGGCACCCATGAGGGGCTTGTCCTGACCAAGAGGGTCTCCAGTTGGCCTCACTGCTGCTGGTGGCTGCAACCACACCTTCCTCTGCCCCACCCTCTAGTGAAAATAGGTGGCCCCAGGCCTTCAGTGCAAGAGGGAGAGCTGGGCAGTCAGCACCTGGCTTTAGGGAACCCCTGTCACACATCGAGGAAACCCTCCCCCCACTGAATTACCTCATTCTTACCACTAAGGCATCCAAGGAAAGAGACAGAGGAAGACGTGGGGCAGTGGTGTGGGGGTTGGCAGGGCATTCTGGGCTGAGGCAGACCTGCTGTGAGACACCCCGGCGTGAGGACGTCCGGGAACACCTGTGTCTTGGGCCCCCTGCTTTAAGGATAATCCACTGGAGGGTTAAAAAGCATCCACTGTGGGACAACCTCCCAGGATGGGGGTGCAGCACTGCCCACCTTGATTTTTTTGTTTTTTGAGTCAGTGTCTCACTATGCAGTCCAGGCTGGCCTCAAACCCACTATGGAGTCCAGGCTAGTCTCAAACTCAAGGTGATCTTCCTGTCTCAGCCTCCTGAGTGCTGGGATTACAGGTGTGCACCACCATGCCCGGCTCCCACCTTGATTTTTACTGTAGATCTAAAACTAACCCCTAAGAAGAGACCTTAGAGGAGAGGCTTCAAACCATCCTCAGGAATTTTCTCTCTCTCTCTTTTTTTTTTTTTTTTGGTGGGGCTGGGGGCGTTTCTGGTACTGGGATCCGAACTCACGACCTTGCACTTGCCAGGCAGGCGCTGTGCCGCTGAGCTAAATCCCCAGGCCCTCTCAGGAGTTTTCAAACTCGACTTTTCTTCTAGAACATCATGATACAGAAACAAAAGTGCACCTAAAATGGAATTGGCCTGGCACTGGGGTTGGCAGGAGGCCCTGACCCGGACCTTGGTGACCTCCTTCGAGAGCTCTGCAGGCCACAGGGGACAAAAACCACTGACCTCGAGTATAAGCATCCTTTGAAAAGCACGAGCCACCCCAAGAGAGAGCCCTTTTGCCTAAGAGGCCAAGGACTGCTCCAGAGATGAACAGTTCCACTTCCTGTTGCCACATTTTCAACTATTTATTGAATGAGGCAGTATAGACAGAATGGAAAACAACACAGAATCCATGCTTTGCTACTGGAGTTTTGCTTTTTTTCTTCTTCTTGGCAATTTCTCAAACTATTAGGAGGTTATTTCACCACAAAGGAACACGGACTTTAAAGCCCTGGACAGCTTCACAATGACGATAAAAAATAATAATTAAAAAAATAACAAATTGTAGAACTAGGACTGCTCATATGTAAATTTCCCTTCCCTCCCCCCATTACGTACAGAAAAGAACATACAAAGAACATTAGATAGTTTTATATAAAACAAGCAAATACAAGAATCTGAAACTTTTCTCAAAGGCTGAGCAAGACATGAGGAATCTTTTAATTCGCATAAAAAAAACACATTAAATACACTATCACACATGTAGGGGAACCTGGGAAGAGGGAGGAAGTGTTGTCCCTGTGCTCAAGGAGCAGAGATTTGGCCTGTCAAAAAGTCAGGTGAATTTATCCACTCGAGACTCAGGGCCGCCGCTGGGAAAGCAGAGTCTGACAGCGCCGAGGGCCAGGTCAGCCCACACCCGGAGCGGGAAGGCCGGTCGGGGCCTGGGTCACAGGCAGGCAAGAGGGCCTCGCGGAGCCTCCCCTGAAGGAGGGGATCCAGGAACCCAGGCCCCTCCTCTCCTGACACCCTGTTGGGCCGCCATCCTTCCCACGCCAGGAATCCCTTTCTGGCGCAGGGTCTCCTCTGTTTAGCTACTCCAGCGGCTAAAGAAAATGGCTCGCATTGGTGAACCCTGGTCTGTGAACTTCTCTCCCTCCTTCCTTGCGCTTCCAGCTCCTCGCAGCCCTTCCCACTCTCTCCCCCATGACGCACGCACACACTCACAGGCACACTCAGCACGCACTCCTCAGACCCTTAATACTTCTGTTCCCGTCAATTCATACACATGACCAAGTCAGGACTGACCTTAAAACCAAAGTAACTCTTCAACAGTCAAGAGTTCCAGGAGGGCTCCTGGGCAGGGGAGGAGGCGGGAAGCCGAGGATCATCTTCTTGGCCCTGTCCCGGAACTTTTGGGACATTCCTCCGCCCAAGGTAAGCTCAGCACTTGGGCTGGCCGAGAGTGTCCCAGCTGGCAGACCACCGACCCTGGGCCCTGGCGTGTCCTGGACCCTCCTTCCTCAGCTGAGTCCAGCAGGGAGAGTTCCGGGCGGCCGCTGGGAGGCAGCTTTGGTGAAGAGCATGGTCACCTCGGCCTGAGTTTGTCAGTAGCTCAACGCATGACCCTGGTATGAACAAAAACCAGGTGACTGTGTCTGGCCACGTACCCTATCACCCACTAAACTGGGTGGATTATCCTTTCCACAGCTCACCTTGATTTCATACAGAGAATTCCATGCGGGTTTCATACATATATATGTATGTATATATATACTTTATATATATATGTAAATGTGTATATCCATATGTACACATATACATATATTCACACTCACACATACACGCACATAAGTATACACACGTGTCTGCAGAAAGGAGTCCTGCCACAATTTGGCTTTTTTGGGACAGTGAAATTGACAATGCAGCTTCTTACTCCACCAATCCCAGAAAATCAAGAGTGGTGCTTTAAAAAAATGCAATTCCAAAATCTGCTGCCTTTCTTCCTTTTCAAAAAAAGGTTACCAAAACTTTTCTTCCAAAGTCGAGAGACTTAATTCCATTTGATTGCACCTCTGCAAAACGTGTAAAAAATTTTGAAGTAGACTAGAAAATGAAGCCATGGTATGGCTGCGTGTCACTGTTCCAACGTCACCACCTCCACAGCCTGGCCGTCCATGGTGACTGCGCTGTCCGATATCCTGGTGGTCACAGGGGCCATGGCCACCTGCACTGGCCCGTTGCCCTGGGCAAGGCTGGTTACCACAGTCTGGTACATGCTCACCGGGATCTGGACCAGGCCTGGGGAGACAAAGGCAAGACGGTTGATGAGGCTGTGCTCATGTTCCAGATGCTGGCGAAGTGGGGGCACTGGGCCCTGATCCCTTGGGATGCCACTGTCTGCTGGCCCCAGGAAACCACAGACCTGCTTTCCAGGCACAAATCAATCTCTTGCCTCACCCTACTTCACTTTTTAAAAACAGACTATCAAGAAAGAGACTCTGTAGCAACTGTGCTCCCCTGCCCTGTTAGGCTACACCACCTACCTCAACCCCCTTTCTGCTGTGCTAGGTTTCTCTCCTCTTGGAAAATGCCCTCTCCTGCTGTTTTCTGGCCTCTGCCCAACTATATCCTTCTTTTCAGAGGGGAGCTTAGAAAAGGGTGTGTGGGGGACTACTTCATTTGATGCTGATTTTTAGATTTTACAGTAAAACAAAAACATTTTGAGGTCAATTCGGACAGAGAGAGTTGGAGAGAGGGAGAGACAGAGAGAGAGAGAGAGACTCAACTGCCTTCCAATATCCCTACCACGTAGAGTAGGAGGGACAGCTTACCATACAGCAGAGGCACATACCTTCAGAGAGGGGTCGCAGTCCATTTCTAGTTAAATAAGGCCAAACAAACTACTTGTTGACTTTCTCTTCTTCTGAAACGAGCATTACAGTGAGTGGGGAAAGGGCTGTGAAAGAGGGACGCTGACATAGTTTGGAAGGTGGAGCACTGATGTGAAAAAGTGCCTCGTACTCAGGAGGTGGCAGTGCAAGGCCATTCCCAGAGGGGCTCCAGATGTGGAGTGCTGGCTCCTGAGGGGATGAGGCTGAAAACCTGTGCTGAGAGGACCATGCCCGCTGGTGCCCTGGCCTTCGGGATACCACATGCGACCCAGCCTTTGTCTCGAGAACTCAACATGTCCCAAGAAAAGATCTATACTGACATTCGGTGAGTAGGGGAGGGCTGATGTCCTAACACTAACCCCAAAATGTAGGTCACCACAGTCCGCCCCATATACTAAGACAATCAGTGTTTCAGTATTAAGGGACACAGAGGTACATGGGGAGAAGAGGTACACAGGGGTAGCTGAGATAGTGTGGTGTGCAGAAGAAAGCAAATAATATTCTCATAGATGACACACCTGTATGTACTAGACCCTGGATTCAAGTCCCAGTACACATAAATGCGCATTTGTGCACACATACACACACACACAGTAGCTATGGAAAAGGAATATAAGATCTGTGTTGTTTTCTGAGACAGGGTCTTGCTCCGCAGCCTAGGCTGGCCTTGAACTTGTGATCCTCATGCCTCAGCCTCCCAAATGTTGGAATCACAGGCTTGCGCCACTACATCCAGCTCAGTTAATTATTAGGTATAAGCAAGTTTCTAGACTGAAAAGACATGAATTTCAGATTGAAAGGCCCACGTGATACCACTATAATAGATGAAAAAAAGATCCACGCACTACAACACATCCACATCTTTGCAAAGTTTCAGTACACTGGGGATACAGCAAAGACCCTAAACGATTCTATAAAGACCAACAGAAAGTCATATAAAGAAGTGGGAGTTAGAACAGGTGGGACTTCTGACAGCAAACCTAGAAGCTGAAAGATGCTGGAGCAATACTTCCCAGGGTTAGAATTCGACACGGCCCATGAACGACGCTCCCACCAGTGACGCCTGCGGCACGACGAGCTGTGTGAGGCTCCAACATGTTGCCTCGAGCAGTTCCCAGACCGCGCGACAGTGCACACCCAGGGGTAGCCACCGAGGGATCTGGGAGTCCACGGCCGCAAATGTGCGGGACGCCGGGGTGAGGCCGGGGTACGGATAGCCCCGTGAGACGGAGCACTGGGGTCTCCCGCGTGCAGCCAGCAAGGTCACAGCTGGAGATGAGTGGTTAGAAAGCACAGGCCTTCTCCACCGCGCCCCAGTGCAAGTACGAACGCGGAAATAAAAAGTTACAGAGGGAAACGCAGTCACACTAATTATAACACACTCCTCTCGGCAGTGAACTTTAACGTTTCAACTAAAAAAAGCTACGACTATTTAGATCAGTAATATATACCAGGAAAAAAAATAAAATGTCACATCTGGGATATAGACTTTTATTTTTTAAAAATGTTCTTACGTCCTTCTTTAGGGGAGTGTGCAATTTAAAATCCTGCTCTAAACCACTGCATTTTCCACTTAGCATACAGTCCTTAGAGGGTGAACGCCCGCTGCGCTCACGCTCCATACCCGAGTACCGGGCAAGCCTGAATTCGCAGCGCAGCTACTCCTTAAAAGCGCCGCTGGATCACTGCGCGGTGAACTCCCGCCCACAGGAAGGGCGATCTACCGGGACTAACACAAGGGATCCACCCTCGGGAGAAGCCACTCAGAACCCCTGCCGACATTTAAATCCTATGCTACTTTGATGAAATTGAGTTTTAAAAAGAGATGAAACCAAAACCAAAATCGCGTAAAACAAAAACACTTTGCAATGTTAAATTGTGTGTGAATTTTGGGGGAGTTAAATTTTGCCAGTTTTAGGGATAAGTAACTTGATGCAACACAGGACAGGATTTGGTGTTTTGATGGCAGTTAGTTTGCGGTACTAGAGATGGAACCCAGGGCCTTCATACTGAGCTACATCCCGGGCCCTTTAAATAAAGTCTTTAAAAAAACCTTTGTATTTTAAAGCAGCTAAATCGCTGAATCGCCCAGGTTGAGCTTGAATTTGTGTCCTCCTGCCTCAGCCTCCCAGAGTGCTGGGATTATAGATGTGCACCACCACATCCTACTTTTTTTTTTTTTTTTGGTACTGGGAATGGAACTCAGGACCTCGTGCTTGCCAGGCAGGCACTATGCCACTGAACTACACCCCAGACCCCCTACTATCATTTTTAAAGCCCTGCTCATGCTGGCGTGTTAATAGAACGCAGGCACAGCTGATGGCTTCACCGTGAGATGCTGGGGCAGAGGTGAGCAGTCAGAAGGGCCAGGTACCGGCTTCAAGTGCGGGGTTTAATTTCTTTCATTTAACCTTTGCCAATGAATTGCTAAATGTTTATCAATGCTGTTCAGTTCTCTTCCAAATGATCTTCCCTTAACATGTTACTTCTGAAATATGAAACTTTCAAGTTCCATGGTGGTTTCTAAAACCTACAATACAGCTTGAGGGCTTTAGCACCGCCTTCAAGGCCTCTCATTTGCCTTGGTGTATCCTTTCTTTTGAGACAGCCTATTGTGTAGGAGCCACTTGAAAACCTGAAATCCAAAGATCCTTCCGCCTCTCAAACTGAGACTATGGGCTGTGCCCCATAGCTTGGCCACTCCACTGTTTTTTTTTTTTTTTTTTTTCCCTCCCCTGGGGTTTTTTCCCCGCCTTTTTTTTTTTTTGGACAGGGGTTTTTTTTTTTTTTTTTTTTTTTTCCCCGCCCTGTGGTTATTTTCCCCCCTTTTTTTTTTTTTGGAAAGGGGTTTTTTTTTTTTTTTTTTTTTTTTTTGGTACCGGAAATCGAACTCAGGACCTTCCACTTGCCAGGCAGGTGCTTGTGCCACTGAGCTATCTCCCCTGAGATAGGGTCTTACTAAATTACCAGGCTAGGCTCCAGCTTGAGTTTTCCTGCCTCAGTCTCCTAGAGTGCTGGGATAACAAGGAGATGGCACTGCACCCAGCTTGATCTTTCCTCACCATCATTTCCCTACTCTCTCAGAGGCCCCATGCTCAGGGATACCTCCCCTCCGCTGTCCTCGGTCACACACCTCTGGGCTGCGTTCAAGGTGCTCCCTGCAGGGATTCTCACTCCCACTCCTTCCCCTTTGGACGCCTGCCCCACCCCAGCCCCAGCCAATGCTCACGGCTCCTCCGCAGTGCGCCAGGGAAGCCCACAGGCCTTCCCGCTTGGCTAAGGCCTCTGTCAGGCCAAGGGTGGTTTCACATTCCCAACAGTGTAAAGTACAAGGTGTGCCGCAAGTGTGCACCAAGATCTCCCTGAGGGCAACAGATCAAGCGGGTGGACGGTTGGCCTCAACCTATGTACAGCCAGGCCCTCTTCCGGCCTCCGGCTTGTCCAGCGTATGCTTCTCCGCTCAGAATAACAGGCTTAATGAAGTAACTCACAACGGCCAGGGGCAAAGCCGGAATACTGGTCTCATCCTTCAGTGCCAGCAAACGGCAGCCAAAACCAGAAGCAAAGATCAGTCTTGTTTCATTGCTCTTGCCGCCAGGCTTGAGTCAGTGCTAAAAGCTCCAAACTTGGGAAACAAATACAGTGACTTGGGCAGGAAAAACTTTCTGTTGTTGGAGTTAGATCTCCTTCACCCTGGCATATGACGTCTGGCTCTCCTGTGATGAGTCCATGCCCACAGGAACAAACTCTTGTTGTTAAGTTTTTAGGGCTGTTTTTTAGCAGAAGGCTCAAATGCAGAAAATACAGGCTGGCAGCACCATAAGCAAAACGACCTTAGGAAGCTAACCTAGTGCTTCTGTTGCTCTCCTTTCCAGTTCTTGAGCAGGTTTCCAATGGCCCTGGGCTCTACACCCAACCCTTACTGTGGGTGCCTGTTGCCGGGGATCTAGTTCCAACCAGCAAACTTCTCTGAACATACGCAGTGCTTGTACACACTGCCTTCTGCCGGGGAAGGCTGTCCTCGGCTTGCTCCTTGAATGGAGTGGGCTCCCACCGCTCCCAGCCAGCTCCAGGCTCTGCTGGGCTCCGGTTTGGGTCCTCTTCTGTGGTCTCCTGACACTCTGTGCCAGCCTCCTGGAGGAGAAGGGTGTATTCACTGCCATTCATGCGCGTCCTGTCTAAACAGATGTAGTCAGCAGGTACTCAATGTCTGCACTCACTGAAGAAAACCCCCTTCTAGGACTGAATGCAGTCCCTTCCAGGGACTTGCTGAGCGTGGCAGGAAAGACTCAGGGCAGTGGGCTATGTTACAGTGGGCTATGTTAGAGCGGGAGTTCCCAGCTGTATAAAATGCATATAAAATGGAGAGATAAGAACACTACATTGAGGACTCATCCAAGTAAAACA